TAGTAATACATTACGAGATATATTTAGATAAACACTTTAGCTAGAGCTATTGCTAGAAGTAGAATTAAGGCTAGTAAGCTTAAGCTACTTCTTATATAAATTAATCTAACGTAAAAAAAGAATAAGCTATCTTTTAAGCTTCTATAACTTCTGTTACTAGAACTCTAACGCGTTTATAGCTCTAGTAGAATTAGTCTTAAACACTTAACTAAGAGTAGTTAGTGTAAGACTACTATTTCTAGAGGTAATAGTTTAGGCAGGCAGAGATAGATTACTAGTAGATTAGTAATATGTAATATATATATAAAGTTAAGCGATATATAGAGCGCTAGAAGTTATTAGACTCTAATTCTACGCAGCTATTCTGCGCTCTTAGTAAGTAACGCTTAGTAATAATAATCTACTTAACTAACCTAACTGTGCAACTAGTAGCGCAGAGCTTATTATAGAGAAGCAGTCTAACTATTTAGAGAGTAATAATTAAAACTTATTAAGTATGTTATAGTGTCTACGCTTTAGTAGAGAGCTAGATAACTAAGATAGTAAACTTTGCGTATAGAGTAGAAGAATATTAGGTAAATCTAATAGAAGTAGTACGCGAGAGGTAGATAGCAGAATATTACTACTAAGGTTCTTAAATACTAGCGCGTTAGAGAGTAGTACTATAGGTAGACGCATTAGTCTAAAAGGCGCGTTAGCTTAGTGCTAATACATTACATAGTAAAGCTTACCTTAGTATTAGGCTTATAAGATCTAGCTTATTAATTTTAGGTTTAGAGAAGTTGTTAATATTTGTAGTAATAGAACTGCAATATTAGCTGTCTCTAATAGAGTTATTAGAACTAGAGTCTAGTTATAGTAATTACTTAGTAAGCTATTAATAGGCAAATCTATAGAGTAATTAGCTAAGTTTTTGTAATACAAAATATTAAACGTATAGGCGTATTAGTGTTGTAAGGTTAATAACTACTATAGAACTAGATCTTAATTGCGGCGTTAGAAGGCTAAGAGGTGCAATATATTACAAGCCTAGTTAGACTAGCGCTAGAGTCTTAGCCTCTATCTATTACTACTTTAGTAGTAACTCTAATTAAACTAATAACTATGTAGGTAGAAATTGTAGAATGCCTCTAGCACTGTGTTAATAAATAGTAGCTATATATCTTCTTCTATAGTAGTTAGAACTACTACTAGAGTTAGCTACTATAAGAATTTTGTTATTAGTTACAGCGTTAAGATAACTATTAACTAAGAGTTCTGCGTCGCGTTTACGCTACTAGCGCACTAGGTAGTAAGTTAGCAATATATTAGCTACTAATATTTTCTTTAAGTAATACCTACTTTTTCTAGACTTAAAACTATACATGCTTAAGAATTATAATATATTCTATTTAAGATATAGAATACTAGTAGCAAAGTAGTTCTGTCTCTAGGTAAGATTGCAACAGTTAAGCTCTATAGCACTAGTAAGGTTAATAAAACACTTATACTATTAAGAAAACATATATACCTATATATTGCTAATATAATATTCTATCTAGTGCTACTAAACATGTAGCTCTTATTAGCTGCTTGTTCTACTATATTACTATATTAATAGGTAGTCTAGAAGGTGTGCACGTTAATATTAGACATATATAGGTTAAGGCTAGATGTAATAACTAGAATTAATTTATGCCTAGCCTAAAAGAAAAGAGTAGGTTTACTAGAGTCTGTAACTTAGTTAATAAGTGTAAGTTTAGAGATTAATATACTAACTTATTAGTGCGTAATATATAGATTTGTATTTCTCTCTACTTTTAACTATACGTAGGCTAAATATTAACACGCGCGCTTCTTCTCTTATCTTTTTGTCTTAAATAGAATATAATGCTCTCTTAATACTATAGGTAAAGTAAACGCTATAAAATATTATAACCTGCTTTAGCTGCTATTACTAAATATAATACTTTAGGTTAATGTCTAATAGATACGCTCTAAGACCTTGCGTAATATATTAGCATAGTATTAGATAGTAGTAGCTTTGCTATATACCTACTATTTACTTACTATCTATATTAGCGACTATAGTCTAGAAAGCTATAGCTCTTTGCTTATAGAGATAGCGCTAGCGTAGTATACACCTAGTACAATTCTATACAGCTTAGAAAAACTAATAGAAATACTTATAGTATTCTTTAGTTAAATTGTATAACGTAATAATCTAACTAGATATTATAACTTTACGCTGCCGCAGATAATAATAGGCAAAGATAACTTTATTTATGTTAGAGTTGTGTACGCGCTTAAAGAACATATCTACTTTAAATAAGAATTAGAGAAGAAAGTTATCTACTTATTCTTTAAAGAAGTAAATTATAGAGTAGTTATCTTCTTTAGCTTTAATAGTTTAAATATAGCGCTACTATAGTATTAGTAGAGTTAGTTAACTATATAACTATGCTAGTGTGCTTATATCTAGTTTTGTCTTATAATACTAGTTAAACTTCTACTATAGTCTCTATAAACTATTACCTATTAGATTTACTATATACTTAGCTATGCGGAAGTAGTACGTAAGGTAATTAGTGTTAGTAAATGCTACGTGCAATTTACTAAGTATCTTTACTCTATACTCTTTAAGAAGTTTGCAAAGTTATAATAATTATTAGAACTATACTAGACAATATATTAATAAGAATTTAGTTATTAGCTAGAGCGTCTATACTATAGGTTATTAAGAGTGTTATTACTGTAATTATAATAGCGATAAGTTGCTTTATATAGATAGAAGGTAGTTATTTAGATAGCAGAGGCGCGTAGTTGTAAATGCCTTTAGCTATAATAATAACTTAGAGGTAGATAGTAACGTTAAGAGGTATAATAAACTAGAAGATATAAGAGCATTTTATAGCTTTATTATTATTTAAATAAATTATTTTGCCTTTTTCTTATAGATAATTAACATCTAACGCCTTTAGTAAAATATTTGCTAGTAGTTATAGAATGCCTTACTACATAATCTCTTCTTACTACTATAGACGTTTTTAATAACGCTATATACACTAGACTTAATAGAAGCTTAAGCGCTAATAAGTTTAATAAGGTACAGAATATTAACGCCTAACGTAGCGTTAAGAATCTTAACCTTATAATAGTAAGTACTCTCTTAAGCCTCTATTACGTAGCTATAGTATATATATTTACGTAGAGAGTAATCTAGTCTATTAGTTTTCTCTTCTTAAATAGTAATATAGTAGTCTAGTGTTTATCTTGTGTAGAGCTTCTTCTACTTAAGTAGTCTTTTCTAGGCAATATAAAGACTATAATATATTAATAATAGAGTAGCTATACTTTATAAGATCTACCTATAAATTAGCTTTAGATATTATAGAATCTAGGTTCTTGTTCTTAACTATAATATAGTAGAATATTATCTTCTTTTATAAATCTTCTATTATCTTAGAGTAGTAAAGGTCTCTAAGCTTAGATACTAGATACTTATAGTGCTTTATAGACAAGTAGTTAAATTAGTAAACGTTAACTTAAGTCTCTAGGTAGTTATAGTACGTATTAGATATAGTTCTGCTAGCTCTGTATATACTATATTAAATATACTTTACTAGGTAAGCTTAGTTTATATAGCTAGTAGATGTATATACACATAGTAAAGAGGGCTGTTACTTAATCTCTAGTCTTTCTAGTAATATTAATAACATAAGCAAAGCTATTTATAGCTATACTAGAGTACTTATTATAATAGTTAATATGCTAAAAGTATTTAGCGTATATTATATAACTTTATAGATTAGCGCGTTAGTAACTATTTAGTTAACTAGAGTATATTAAACGCAGCAATAGAGGCTCTTAAACAAAGTAATACTAATATAATCTTAATATATTATAGTGTTACTATTAATGTTTTACTAACTTTATAAGTGCGTAATTCTTTTATATCTTCTTAAGAAAGCTAATAGTTTTCTAGTTTAAGAAGACTACTATTATAGAGATTATAATAAATGTGTAGTAGACGTATATAGCTATAGAATATTATTAACGTAGGTTTAGTGTTAAGTTAAGACAAGACACTAATATTAGCTAGAAGATAAATGTCTACTAGTAGGCGCTTAAAGACACTGTTATAGTATTAGATTTTAAGAGCCTTGCGTTGTACTTTGTTTAGAGCCTTTAGCTTATCTTAATTATATAACTATAGTATTTTAATAGTGTATATATTAATGTAGAGATATAGGCAGTGTAATAAGGTTATAAATGTACATTTATAAGGTATTATATTGTTAATATATTATAATAGTGTAAAATAAGTAACGCGTAGAGTAAGTAGCTAAGTATTATAAATTACGTATAACTATACTATAACTTAAAGTTAGCTTAGTAGTATAGAGTAGGAAGTCTGTAGCGTTAGCAAGGGCGTTGTGCGGGCTGTGCAGCAAGAGTAGAGAGCATAGTTTGCTTTAGCGCTGCGCTGCTTTGCTGCAGGCTGGACCAGAACCTCGGATCCTCTTTGCCTTGACGGTACGATCGGATGTCTTTGGACGACTCCTATAAGGTGTCGGGAGTCGCCCCGTTGATGGAGTGAGGGGACGACGAGCGTACCGCCGTTGTCGTTGCCGCTTCTTCCACCCACCACTTCTTACTCACCACCGTCGCTCTTTCACGCTGTGCCATCCTTTCTTTCTACACCTGATCCTACGAATACTCGGGTCCGCTCTTTATTGTAGTCGGTTCCTTACGCTCTCTTCTTTCTTTGTAACAATCATCATCTCACGACTTCAAAATGAAACTCTTCGGTCTTCTTCTGCTTGTGCCTTTGGCTAGTGCACGAGCTGTACGATACCACCACCAAATACCCATTGTCGAAGAACCCCTCGACAAACACACTACCGCGGAAGGACTTGATGCGCCTCCCAGCATCGGCGTCCATTTCACAACATCACAAGCAGTAGCAGCTGCGCGGTACCCAAACGGCACAACAATCGACGTGGCCCAAATCCCCGGAGATGCCGAGTACATAGACCTAATGTCGCGGTGGATGACACCACACACTTCATCGAATTCTCCAAACGACAGCAGAATCCTCACAGAATTCCTATCAAAAGTCCACGCAACCCTCGAAAATGAACTCGGACACCCAATCACAAATATCACATCGGCCGTCACATTCCCCTTCTACGGATCCCATGAGAAGGACTTTGAAAACGCTTTACTATCAGCCGGCCTCGCTCTATCAGAGGATACCCCTTCGATATACTCGGAAGCATACGCCACACATGCCGGATTAGAACACACAACATGCGTTTCTGCGACGCTCCCCCACCAACACCAACACATCCTCGTCCTGGCCTTCGACTCCAGTTCCTTCAGCGCAAGCATGCACGAAACCAGCTGCTCCCCCTCCAAAACCAACCCACCAACCCCCCACTCCCGCATGATCAACTACGTCGCGCGAAACGATCTCGGTTGGTGGAGTCTCCCCGTCTACGAAGCCCCTCGCGCAAAGTTCTGGGCGAAGCTGCAGGAAGCTGTTGTTCATGCGGTGGGCGGATTGGGTGTGCCGCCTGGAAAGATTGTGCTATTAGGGAGCCATGGCCAAGATAAGGAGTTTGGGGTGCAGGTGGAGCAGGCGCTTTGGAGGGAGTTGGAGGTTGATGTTGGGGCGTTGCTTGGGAGACGGGGTGGGAAGAAGGAGAATGAGTGGTTGGCTGCGAGGGGGGCGGCGGGGCTGGGATGGCGGAATCAGAGTCGGAGGTGAAATGTGTTTTTTTATGTGTTTGGGAGTTGGGGGCAAAAGTATGTGTGCGAGTAACAAAGATACCCATAATTTATATCATCATGAATCGTCATATTTATCTTCGCCTGAGGCAATCCAAACTATGTTTTATACTAGTCCGACGATACCTTCGTACCTTTCCTGGGCGCAGCCCTTACTCTAGTCTCCAAAGTGTTACATATATGGGCCCGCCCATGTACCATCAGACTGGATTTCTTTCACCCGAGACCTCGTCTCCTGGTCATCACCTTTCCCCTTCTACAGCCTTAGTCTCGAAGACGACGACAATCGTGTCTCGGAGCTGGTCACGAACCTGTCGTGATCTCAGCTTATCTACTACCCGGTGGCCGAGATGCTCCTCTACTGTATGCGCAGTTTCGCAATGCTTGTCTCGTTGGGCGGTGCCAGAGAGAGCAAGCGCGTCGCCCCTGGTAGCGTGGTATAGGCAGTTCTGTGCTAACCTTGGAACCCTCAACGTGGTATTCCGTTGTTATGGCTTATCTCGGCTTGAGGTTTTGCCCAACGGTAACAGCAGTAGTGACTTTGGACAATCTTTTCCTTTCGGACATTTCCTCTACTTGGTAGTTTCAGCGTACCAGCAGTACCGTTACTATTAACGTCATAGCGTACAAACACTGCGTCAGGGCTCTTTCGTTCGCGTACAGACACTTGGTCAGAAAGCCGATATGCTCCATCCCAGCAATTCTTTCTTCTTCGTACTCGGCGATGAGTTCGGAAGCGTGGTCCAGCCACGCTTTCTGTACATTACATTTGGCTTCCCACGCCGCAATTTCGCCATCGTAGTATTCGGTGAGCTCGTCGAGGACACCTATGAGAGGTCCGGGAGATGGTGGTGGTGATGGTGGTGGTGATGGTTTTGGAGCATATGTGCCCAGCTTTCTTGGTGGTTCGTCGAAGGCGCTTACCAAGGGATGGGGAGATGGTAGCGGTTTGGGGGTAGACACGCACGGCGTGTTGCCGAGCTTTCTTGGTGAGTCCACGAAGGTGCTTACAAAGGGTTGAGGCGATGGTAACGGTTTGGGGGTATACACGCACAGCGTGCTGCGCTGGTTGCGTACCTTTCTTGATGATATGGTCATGGTGGTGGTTGATGACATGGTGGTGGTCTAGTGTGAATCGTGTATCAGATTGCTATGAATTTAGTAGTTTGCTTAGAGAGTTAGTGAGAATGTTTGCTTGAGAATACTTATGTGGTGCCATGTCCAAATCTAGGTAAGGTCACGATGTATGGTCTAGGTTGATGACTATGAATCGTTGGCATTGTGAAATAACGGTACAGACTTTGCGTGCACAACTTGGAGCACATGCCACTTCGGATGGTTCGGCGCAATTTCGCGCAAACGTGGATGTTCTGTGTATAAGTTTGGTGGGTGAGGCGGCTGACGGAGGGCTGTTCACATGTCGAGGCACGCGTCGGTTTTAGCGCGGCGGTTGCGTCAGTGCTCCGAATGCTGATCGGAAATATACCGCCCTAGAACAACAAGGAACAACATCCATCCTCAGGCTGCCACCGCGTCCACGCCAGCTGTCTTCTTCACACCAACACGTGAGGGACGGAATACGCGCTAGCACCATGATATGATGGGATTCTTCCACGACTGCTTCTCTTGAAAGTTGCAGCTCACGCCCACACCAAACCACGCCAGACGTCATGGCAGGCAACGAGCCCACACTATCGTCTCGCGCGAACCAATACGTTCGCGAGGTCCTGCACAACACCGAAGCCCCGCCCACGATCCCCGTCCGCTACTTCTACACGTCGCCGCTCGCTATAGACGACCCGCTGTCTCCGCTCCCGCCGCCGCCCACGGGCACCTCGACTGCGAAGAGAGTGCCACCGCGGCCCTTCTCCGAATACGACAACGAAGCCATCCAGGAGTCGTGGCTGGAGCTGCGGAAGAAGATCCTGAAGCACACCGAGGAGTTTGGAGAGAAAGATGCGACGGGACGCGGTACGCCGACCAACCCGGCGGTGGAGCGGCTGAAGAGGAAGAGAGGCGCTAGTGCTTCGAGCGAGGAAGGCTCGATCCAGGGACGAGACATACCGTCTGGGCGGTCATCGAGCAGAGGGCAGTACTCGAGGTCTGCTGAGCTGGTGGACAAGAAGACACCCGGCTCGGGTGGTGGCAGCTACGGCCAGTCCATGTCTGGCTCGCTGAAGGCCTACGATCCCGGCCCAATATCGCCCCTCGAGCCTGCGACGACCGGCACCCCGTTCATCCGAGCCCCATCGAGAGGGAATCTGGCCAAGTCGTGGAAGCCTGCGCCTATGGAGGGAGGCCATCGGCCGACTATACATGAAGTGGACAGCTACAAGTGGGATGACGACATGGAACCTGCTCTGTCGACGGCCAAAGACAAGGCGCCCGCGCGAAGGTCCTCGAAGCCGAAACCGGGGCCATCCGCGAAGGTGCCCGTGGGAGTCTCAAGACTACATCACGTAGTCATGGACACAGAGTCAATACGAATGGAGCCCATATACTGGTCGCCGCTGAGCGATGTCGCCCAGATAGTACGAGGAACGTGGTTCTACAAGGACAGCATGATGCCTGTCGAGGTGGAAGTCGCCAACATGCTCGAAGCTGGATACATCGAACTGAGACCCTGGACGCAGACGTGGACGGACGAGCTGAACAGTGCTGTTGAAGTCGGTGCATTCGGCGAGATGAAGATACTCCATCACCTCTGGCCAGAACGGCCGAAGAGAGCAGAGAGCAGGCCGTCGACTTCGCAACAGATGATGCAAACAGCCGGTCTCGTTCAAAGCACCCTACCCGAAGAGGATGATGACCCGGAGAAGGAGCGCAAAGAGACTGTGGAGAATGCCTGCGACTTGATCGACATCTCCACAGGTCCAGAGGGACCAGATCACAAAGCAGCGGGAGATCTAGAGTACGGTGCCGACGGAAGGAAGCGCCTGTACCTGAAAGCGGGTGTGATATACTCTAACGACAAGGAAGCTTTCATCCTCAAGCCAGCACTACAACCGTCTGACTACTACGGGCGACGGCCACTGGCAAACTACATCCGCAAGGGCAGAGCGATCGGCGTCCACGTAGTGCGCGGTTTCGACCAGGCTGTCTGGGACAAGCTACATCCGAACAAGAATTCGCCAAAGGCACAAGCAGCACGCGAAGGCGTCTCGTCATCGCAAGGTGGCGCGCCACAGTATCGAAGGCAGAAGTCGGACCCCGACCTCGCGCAGTCAGAACGACCCAAGGTGTCAGACCTGGTGTTGGTCATACATGGTATTGGACAGAAGCTGTCAGAACGAATGGAGACGTTCCATTTTACGCACGCGATGAACGCCTTCCGAAGAGAGATGAACGTCGAGCTTGGGACTCCGGATGTCAAGCGGCACCTGCGTAAGGATATGGGAGGTGTCATGTGTCTGCCAGTGAGTTATCATTGCAGTGATTCTCGATCAACGTACTAACACAAGGCAGGTCAACTGGCGACACCGCGTATCCCTCGACGTCGATAACACCGAGGCTCCCGAGCTTGAAGACCCATCTGCGAACAAATACACACTCAAAGACATCACGCCCGATACGCTCCCCTCAGTACGTGGTATCGTTAGCGATGTCATGCTCGACATCCCATACTACCTCTCGCCGATGCACAACCCCAAGATGATATCAGCTTGCATAACAGAGGCGAACCGCATCTACCGCTTGTGGTGCCAGAATAACCCCGGGTTCGCAGAGTACGGACGAGTGCACTTGATCGCCCATTCGCTCGGCTCGGTGATGGCCATCGACATCCTCAGCCAACAACCAACCTATGTCGATCCGCAATTCACCGACCCATCCTTCCCTGAAGCCGACCTACCCCAAGACCAATTCATCTTCAACACAACCGACCTCTTCGTCTGCGGCAGCCCCGTCGGCCTCTTCCTCCTCATGAAGAACGCAAACTTACTCCCTCGCCGCGACAAAGAGAAGCCCGGCGCCGACTCCTACGCCGCCCTCGGTATCGCCGGCGAGCAAGGCACATATGGCTGTCTAGCCGTCGACAACATCTACAACATCATCAACCCCTACGACCCCGTCGCCTGCCGCATAAACCCCACCGTCGACGTCGTCTACGCCTCAATGCTCAAACAAACCACCATTCCCTCAGCCTCAACCTCCTACTTCGCCTCGCTCAACCCCTTCCGCTCGTCCACCTCTTCCGCCAACAACCCCGCAAACGACAGACCTACCACTATCCGTCTACCCAGCAACGTCGAACTCGAAACGCATAACTTCACGCGCGAGGAGATTGCGGAGAAGAGAGCGTATTTGCTTAATGATAATGGTCAGATTGATTATTATATGAAGTACGGTGGTGGGCCGCTGGAGATACAGTATCTGACTATGCTGGGTGCACATAGCAGTTATTGGCTTAGTAAGGATTTCGTTAGGATGATTGTTGTTGAGGTGGGGAGGGGGCTGGGGAAGGAGGGTACGGTTAGGGAGATGAGGGCCGTGAAGAAGAAGATTGCTGTTGGGGGTGCGACGTAAGGATGAGGTTCTGGTTTTGGGTTGAGATGGTGGGAGGAGAATGGGCAAGGCGCGCATTCACAGGGAGTCTGTCGGCATTGCGGTATCGGAGTATGTGTTTGTTGGCATCTTTTAGAAGTTATACCCCGTTTTAAACGCAATTTGGCAGGAGTTCGCATTAGTACTTATTTAATTAGGATTGAGAGCAGCGACGTGTTCATGGTCGGGTGTCGTGATTGGTTCTTGATGGTTCTTGCAGTATGTATAAGTATCGCTCTTACGCACAGATAATGTCCCTTTGCCATGCGTGGTTGCAGTATGCAAGATGTGCTGTTCGTATCATACGATGAGGAATTCTATGAGGAAGCTCGTCCTCCTCAAAGTCTTTTTCTGCAGATTTCGTACGAGGTGGAAGAAACTCTTGTCCAACACTAACTAGTACGCTGCCACAATGCTTCAACCCCGAATCCGTGGTAGCACCGAAGGCTTCGCTAAGGGGTCGCTAATTCTAAAAAGGATATGGGAGAGAGCGTCTTTACTGTATACGTAACAGAAGGTGTAGTTAAGACTCAGGCTTAAGAAGAGTACCATTGTTCGACAAATTCAAATCACCAACACGAAAACGTAGCCCGGAGGTATGCACTCGTCCTTTCTGTTCAAAACCGTCATCGCAGATCACCAGGTACACTCGAGGTTGTGTTTCCACATTTCCATAACGTAACCATATCAAGCCCCCTGTTCTGTTAAAGTAGAATGCTACCGAGGTTACTGTAACAAATGTCCCAGCGTCTTCTCATCCATACCAATCCTGACATCTCTTAAATGACGCAAACTTATCATGTTGCTCCTGCGCCTCGTCCTCCCAATCAATCTCCACCTCTTTGCCTGCATACATACTCGCGAAAGCACTGCGACGGGATTTAAACCAGTTTGTATGCGTTGTATCCAGTACCATGGCCACTCGATCGGCAATGGATCTATCGTTTGTACTTTCCTCGGATGAGCCGATTAGGGTAGGCCCTAACGCGAAGATGGGCTCAGGGTCTTCGATGAAGCCAACGTGCTTCAGAATCGCGTGCATGGTGGATCGCCGGAGCGATTCACCGGGTACGCACCACGAGTCCTGTCCTAGGGCTTCTATGTCTTCCTCCCAGCCGGGTGCCTGAAGTCTATATCGCACCGCGATGTTCAAAACGGCGCGGTACCACAGGTACATCTTCTTTGGCCGATTGTCGTTCGCAAACTCTAGAATCCTTCCGTCGAGCTGTGTATGGGCAACGGGCCAGGTTCGATATCTCAAGTCGCCATCCCCATTCCTCAATTTTGGGTCCAGCACCCGGACCTTATACGGTTCTTTGTCGGTTCCTTGTACTTTTTTGCCGGTCTCGGGGTCGGTATCACCTACGCGGGCAGGAACGATGATGATCTGAGCTCTGTGGAGCATACCCCTGAACTCGAAGCCAAGCGGGAAGCCGTTGGAAGGGTCCATCAAGTGGCCGCGTTTGTTGTCTGTTTTGCCAAACAGATAGTCGCAAGCGTAGTCGCCTGTGTTGTAGTGCACTAGATGGACAGCCCCGGTGTCATGTTGCCACGGGCGTACACTTGAGCGTTGCCGCGCGATAGGGCACCAGAATCCACCCAACGATTGAAAATGATCAGTGATGTTTCTGCCATAATATTCATTGACATCTTCGTCAAATCTCTCCGACGCATCGAGATCGCGGCCGTCGGGGCCAATGTACCATGATTTGTGGACCTGGGGTGACTTGTAGGGCTTGGTTAAGCGCTGGATCATGGAGTTGATATACGCCAAATCAGTGGCATCGGTATGCTCATATGCATTAATGTATTCTCCTTTCATCTGATTCTTGAAGTCTCGCAATACGATGAGGAGCTTTCTGAGACCGGCAGTAGTTGTCTCAGCCTGCACTATCAAAGGCAGTGTATCGGACTTCAAGATGTTTTTATGCTCTTCGGTTATCTGCCATTGCCGGATGGAGAAGGAATGCGCGTCAATCTCTGCACTGAGCTTGTTGGTGATGTCGTTATGCCAAGTTTGGTATTGGTGCTCGATTGCTTTCTCCCATTCGTCCTGTGCCATTTCAGACGTCCTCTCCAAGGTCTTTGGGCTTGACCATGTATCGAAATGATGATCGCTCGCTCTCTTTGCTGCCCCTAGTAACTTGTTGAGTTGGATGTAGGCAGTCAGAGATAACCACATTTTCGTCTCGGTGGTAGCTGGTGACACAAACCTAGCAAGATTTAGGACGTCCATGGGCGCATAAACATCAGGTTCTGATGGTTCTTCGTCGCTTGATGAGTCGTCATGCTGGCTCTCCAACACCTCTTCTTCCAGTTCTGTCTCGAAACTGAACAACGCTTCTCGCGCCTGAAGCCCTTGTTTCTGTTTCTTGTTCAATTTGGGCAGTCTGGGCTCTCGTTGGTGGGCCATTATGGAGTTTCGGTGGTGGATAGTGTTAGGAAAGTATACGAATTTGTGGTGTTGTACTGTCAGATGGTATCTAGGTTCGGGTTATAAGTACGGCGATGTTACTATTTCTCAGGATAAAACAAAGAAAATTGGGTAACATCGGATTGTGAGTCACATAGATGCAGAAAGACGTGGTTCGAAGAGCGAGCATGACTGGAAACTAGAAGCAACCACGGTACGCATCAGTGAGGACCCTTGGATGACTAGCCACTCACCCGGTTGCCAATAAAGCCCGAACTCACAAACTTGCTCTAGCAGAGGGCTTCTGTTACTTTACCTAGGCATACAATTTAAATTTCTAGTAGATAGAATTATAGAAAATTACAAGAGCTATTTTACTAGCTAGTTAGCTAGTATTACTCTTTTGTTGTAGGTGTAGAAAGAAGTGTTGCAAGAAGTAGAGGTTTTGCTGTTTCTCTTTCTGCACGCTAAATTTGGTGAGGTCTGAGTTCGGCCTTTTTTGGCGACCGGGTGCCACTCACAGTCATCGCAATACAAGCGACTAAAACAACGTATCTCGCCGTTCAATGAGCATTTTGATGCGACAAGACTTAGTGTAGCCGCGTGGAGCGAGGAGCTTTCCAATGACAAGATAGAGCTAAACACTTTTCAAGTCATCGGATCCTTCCATCCACCACCCCAACCTACTGCCCCAACAATATCTTCATAGTCTCGATCCCCACGCCCAGTACCTCCTGACTCCTACTCCCCTGCAACACCCCCTTCAATTCGTCCACCACACCCTTCTTCTTACAAATCTCCACCCCCTCCTTAACATCCACCACACTCCTTAGACAAACAATCCCCCGATACCTAATCCCCTCATCTTCATCCTTGCACAGCCCCACAAGCCACTCCACACTCTTGTCTTGCTTGAGGAATTCGAGAACCGCAAGATCCACGCTCAGCAACATCGCTAGCGCACCTCCAGCCGCTGATCGTGTTGCAGCGTCATCGACGTCCGTCATAGCAAGTAAGAGATGGAGTCTATGTTTCGCCCGCGGCGATCCATCCGCAAAGTTGGAGATGCAAACAGGTGAAGCCATGAGGTTACACAGCAATTCCGTAGCCGCACGCCGAATCATCGTGTTGGAACTAAGTAACAAATCATCAACAACCGTGTCGAAAGACTGTCGAATGATATGGTCCTGCGTATTCCTATCCAGAGAAGCGAGGTTCGTGAGCGCGAGGAGCGCTTCAAAAGCGTGAAGTTGCCAGGTCGTAGACTCAGTGCGTGTGAGTTGGCTGAGGAGGGGGCGAATGGCTGATGCGCTGGGTAGTGCGGCGTTGAAAGCGTGAGACGGGTTTATGCTGATGAGGAGCCGGGAGAGGGCTTGGGCTGTGGTGGGGAGGGCGGCGGGAGGGAAGGGCGTGGTGCCGGTTGTTGAGAGGTCGTTGGTCGAGGAGATGTGGTCGTAGATCTGGATGAGCAGTTTTACCGCGCCTTGTTGTGCCATGGTGCCGCGCGATTTGGTGTCTTTGGAGAGGGAAAGCAGGATTAGACTGCTTTGGGTGAGGATAGATGGGGAGCCCTTTTTGCAGACTTGTACCAGGAGGGGGACGACGCCTGCGTCTAGTACGCGTTTGCAGCGTATGGCGACGTCTTCGTCGTTGAGGAGGACGTGGGGGGTCGATGGCTTTTGCACGTTGGCGTAGGCTTTGAGTTGGGCCATGCGCTTTTCCTCTTCGGATTGTAGGGGCAGGTATTGTGTGACGTTGACGAAGATGGTGAGGCCGCCGAATACGATGTTCTTGGGTGAGGAAGGGTCGCTCATGGTTTCGATGAGGCGTTTGAGAAACTTTGGCGACTTGGAGAGATCTTCTCGTACTTTGGGTTGGAGCGAGGCGTAGGCGAGTCCTTCGACTGAGTCTTGCTTTGAGGATGTGTCGCCGCCTATGACCATGGACTTGAAGCTGGCAATCAGGTCGCTTTGGTCTACTTTCTCTGCTCTGACGATCCTTGGTGCATCCTCAGATGGCTGCTCTTCGCCTAGCTTGACAAGTACGAGCGCGGCCAAGTTGGCACGCTTCTTGTTCTGACTTTCTGCGACCACGTCCTCCAGCCACTCCCTGCAGTTCTTGCTGATCGCCTCTCGACAGTTCTTGTCGACACAGGCAGCGCTGATCAACTCCAGAGTAGCTTGCTCCAGGTTGTGCGACTTCTTGCTTTGGACCCTTGACACCAACGTGCTGACAAAGCCATCCGTGAGGAAGAGCGCAGCAGCAGCTGTGACAGCGACAGGGAAGATAGCTGCAGCCGCCGAAAATGCAATAACCAGATCATTTGCCTCCCCTTTCTTCGTCCTGTGCGTAACAAACTTCGAGATCAACTCGCTAGCAGTCTCCGGCGCAAGCTCAAACAACTTGATACTCGCAAGAGTAGCCTGACTACGCAGACTAGCAGGAAGTCGAATATCCAGCGAAGTGAGGATAACATCGAAACTGTCCGCATCAATGATCCCCTTGAGATGCTCCGCGTAATGAGCAAGCAGCTGCGCGATCCCCTTCATCGCACGCTCAGGATGCTCAAGCGCCTCCTCCATCATCATCGCCAAACTGAGCATAAAGATATCTCTATGCCCCGTCTTGAAAGATTCGTCGTCGGGCCAGACCGCCCGGTTGAGACAGACTTTGAGTAAGCCGTCGATGGAGTCGTCGCCCCGCTCGAACATCTCGTAGTAGATGCGTGTCGGCTGCTCGCGGATGGCTTTGGCGACCCACATCTGGGCCCCGGGGTTCTGGAGTAGTTCGCCTGAGACCTGGTCGAGGATGTCGTCTTCGCCTTTGAAGTCAAAGAGGATGGACATCGCTTGTTCCGCTTCGTCCTGCTTCAGGCCATGGGTCCGGATCGCTTTGAGTGCCTTTTCGCCATCGTGTTCGTCTTTGCTGATGACCCAGGCTCGACAGTGGCCCAGTAGTTCGCTCTTTCCCTCCTCTTCTTTCAGTGCAAGCCATGCCTCTTTGATTCGCGGATGCTCGGGTGCGATCGTACTAGCTTCACGCAGGTACCGGGCTGCAACGGTTAAATCGCCTGATTTGGTGCTCTCACTTGCCTTCTCGGCAAGTTGCACCGCTCTGTCTTCGTCGGATGTGGAAGACATCGTTGATTGTATGATGGAAGAAGATCACTCTAACGTGATGACCTTTGGAGTTCATGGATGCCCACGTGTCACGGGGCCTGGATCGATTTGATGGACGATGCACGGGCCACTGCGGAGCTGTTTAGTGGAGCGCGGGGAGGTTGATCATCACTACAGCAGGAGCAACCTTGGAACTTCCCTTGTGATAACACACCAACTATATGTGCCTATAGATCCTACGGGTGTTCTCTATGCAAACCTAGTGAAGACTTCGAGAACGGAGATACCAAGTTCAGCCCTGGAGCTTTCAGCAGCTATGTCAAAGTGTCTTCTTCTTATGTTCGCGCTCGTATCGTCACGATTCGCTTGCAATGATGACTGTGAGTGGTACTTTGGGCTATGGATGTCAAGGTGTCGTCACTGCATCAAAACGCGTCCAGAAGGTAGTATGCAAAGACTATTCTTGATTACCAAATGCACCTCATCCCGTCATTAAAAGATCTAATCCTCGCTTTCCCGCAGTGAAGCGTGCGAGGTCCAAAAAATATGTACCTACGCCTAGAAGATGCTCAAGTATGAATGCTTCGCGAACGAGAAACAATGAGACCGACCGCTCTGAAATGATCATACAAAACGCCATGCCAAAACGCTATGCAAAACGTGCGCCATTTCCAGATTCCCACCTCCCATGTCTTTGCAACTCCATGCTCACATGTTCTAATGCACCACCCTACTTCCCCTCATCAACCGCCGTATCCGCCCTCTTCCTCTGAATAACGCCCAAAAACAGCAACCTCTCCCAAACATCATCCTTAACCAGCACCCTCGTCTTATCAAACGGCAGCCCATCCAACTCCCTCAGACTCCTACAAAGATTCGCCAGCATCATCTCGGTAACCCGACGCCTAATTCGGGTCTCATAGTCCAACCGTTGCAGGTGCTGGACATCGGCTTCGACTTCGCCCTCAGGCAATACAAAGCGGTTGGTGAGTTGCTCGTCGGAGGGTTTCTGCCGGAGAGACAGGATGCGGTTTTCGCAGGTCGGGGCGTAGAAGCGGAGGGTGAGGGGGTTGTCGCGCCAGTCGAGGGTGGAGAGCGTGGGGAGCTTGCCGAGGACCATGGCGTTGGCGCGGAGGCGCTCGAGTTTGTTGCCGGCGAGGAGGAGGGTGCTGAGGCGCTTGATGTTGAGGAGGGGGCGGAGGTCGGTCAGTGAGTTGAAGTTGAGGTTTATGGAGCGGATGTTGGGGGTTAGCTGGCCGAAGTTGTCGGGGAGTTCTTTCAGGCCCATGGAGGCTAGTTCTAGGCGTTGCAGACTTAGTAGGTGTGAAGATATCTGTAGGCCGTAGGTTGGGTTGAGGGAGAGATATAGGTTGCGGACTTCAGTGTTTCGGACTAGGTTGCTTGCGCACATTTCCATGTCGGATTCCGAGTTTAGGATTTGTTCGCGGGCGGAGAAGGTGCGGAGGTGGCGGAGATGTTCTAGTCCAGATACTTGCGTCAGGCAGTTGCCGTCAACGTAGAGAGATTCAAGCTTGGGGAAGTACTGGTCGACGTCGAGGAGTGTTGTTCCGTTTCGGCACATACGGATCGAGCGCAGGAATCTGCATGGCTTCAGAGGTCCATCAAGAAGGGGAAACTCCTCGATTTCGTTGTCATCTTCTAAGGGTCAGTGTTGATCGAATGAGTATAGCAAAAGAAGACATACCAAGGTTGAGATGCTGAAGCTGGGGTAGGCAATGCAGATTCCGTACTTCAAGCAAACGGTTCTTGCGCATGTCCAGATCTGTGAGAGATTTTCTATCGCATCGATTAGCAGGGAACAAGGCTTGTTCAAGTTCATTTACTTACAGATCCGTTCGGGTGAAGTCAACCATGTCGATC